ATATATATATATTATTATAATATAGGGGTAAAGTGGTGTGCGATTCCCTCCATCGACATATGTTGGGGTCCCAGGCGCGCAGGTTGGGGTGCTCACCAGACATGATTTGGACAGCATTCGGAAGGCTAAAGCAGGCCCTCAAGAAGCCTACAATCCCAAGCACCTGTAGAATGACAGTGTTGGTTTAGGGTCTAGGGTTTAGGGTTTAGGGTTTGGGGTTTAGGGTTCATATCATGCCCCAGGTTCTTTTCCATGTTCGTCTGCAGTAATTAGTGGTGTAGATAGCATTGTTTTAGGTGCCCTGCATTAGACCTTACAAGCTTCGACCGATCTAGAGAGACGGAGTGGCAGTGCAGCCGAGTATGGCCGGCGAGTTTTCTAGCGCACAGGCCCAGAACTGGTGTGACAAAGTGGTCCCGCTAAGGTTGTTGGGTGGCTGTGAGCGCGGGTGAAGAAGGACAACTTTTGGGATCACATGAGGAATAATGTTGCACCTCGTGCAATGCGGACTTCCTCTTTAATGTGTTTCGGCGACCACATAAGGAGCGACAGAATCCAAACTATCCCCTCTAAATCAACCCCCAGAGCTCTTCACAATCGAGGTGGTTTTAAGGACGTACCCTCTTTTTCAGTCCCGCGCTCCTCCGATCAAAGCGTGAGCCCTGAAAGGAGGTGAAGCAACCTAAGGATCTATTCCTCTACTTACTGGTTCTTCGTAGGAAGAAGGGAATCAATTAAAAGGGGTTACGTAGAGAATATATGCCCTTATTCCTTACTAAGCCCCAGTAAGCTACTGAAGACGATTTAGTAGCTGTACCTGCACTTAATCTTGATACCCAAGGTACTTTGGGGACTATAGTGGCTTGAAGCACAGTTGCTTTAAAGCTTTGCGTAAGCCTGCGTATGTCCACATGTCCAATTCCTAAACTCTGAAAATCCTAAACCCAAAGAAAAGTTTCGGTGTCCACTTTGGGCAACATTCCCTGTGGCTCCATGTCTATAAATAATACCTACATTGGGCCCCAATGTCTACAAATAGTACCTACATTGGGCCATTTGGAGCCCTAAAACCCTAAACCCTAAACCCTAAACCCACTTTGGGCAGCATTGGTTAGGCCTGGATTAGCACCGAGGAGTCTGGCTCAAGGTGGCCAAACCTGCGACATGGCAGTTCGCCTCAGTGATAAAACGTCAGTGGAGGTTCTTGGTTTAGGGTTTAGGGTTTAGGGTTTAGGGTTTAAGGTTCACCCATTGATTTCCACATTAGGGGACTTGGTGTTTTCAAACTGAGCAGGAAGAACAATGGCAACAGCTTCATAAGTACGCTGAAGCTCCGTGTGCCCTCCTAAGACAGAACTCCCATGAAGTCCTCTTTTAGAAGAGCAATCCCTAAACCGCAAACCCTAAAACCCTTGCACCCCTAAACCCTAAAACCCTTACACCCTAGCCTTAAATCCTAGCTATAGTCTCTCTGGGACCCGCTTGGGATTCTATGTTGGCTTGTGGAAGGGTATGTGCCACTGAGTGGGTTTCTGGACCCCATAGACCATTGCTTAGCATGCCCTAAGTCCAGTACCAAAATCCTAAGTAGTCAATTCTCGGAGACATGGACCCTTAGGGTATGAGGCTTTGAGCAACCCCACGCCCCCAGAATCAGCTAGCTGTCTGACAATAACCAGGGGGAGCTGTAATTGGGGGCTGGGCCTACCAGAATCCTCTGATTCTTGTTTTCGACTAGATGACACCTGTTTCAGTCCTTGTGAAAGCAGCATGTTTGTCGAAGAGCCCCTTAATCCCCTCCCCTGATACATAGGTATATACATGTATATTTCTATGCATAGATGTTTGAGTGCATTGAGCTATATTGCGATATTTGTCACCGGTTCATGTGCTTAGAACTTTGCGGAGGAGATCTGGGACCCCCATAGAAAGGGATTTGCAAGATGAGAAGGGACACGTTTTTTCTCTTTTGGAGGATTGCAAGAGGATTCGTCGTTCAGGTTTTGAGTTCTTCTGGGTTTCGAATGAGCTGGGCGGCTGTTACATGTGTGATGACATGAGTCACACAGAAGCAAGAACTTGACGATGATCTAGAGGCCTGTAGCCCACCCTCGGGGGAGAAGTACATGTTCTATGTAGATACATAGCTTACAGCAGAGCTATGCAAATGGATGGGATCCTAGGCATGCCATTATACACCCAAGTGGCCCACCAAAGAAGCGCGGTGTAAGCTTCGATTCTGGGTGTGACCTTATGGTAAATGAGATCCAGTTCGGTATTGCCCGGGCGCAGGCTCCAGCTCTACCCAAGAGCTCCTATGCAGTTCCTTTTGCTGTGGTTTTTGGTAAGGGGTATACCACCCAAAAGGGAATTACCTAGGAGGGTCTGGGCACACTGTCAAAAGCTGTTTGGGAGCCCTAGTTCTGGCTCAGCGTTGAGGGTTCAGGATCTCGGCTCACGTGAGCTATAGTCTAAATTCCACAAAAAGGGTTATATAGGTGATTATATAGGGGACTACTATAGGGATTGTCAAGGGGGATACTAGGAGTTTAGACAGTGGCTCACGTCTTGTTTGAAAGACGGCCCTCAGCCTCGAGACCTTTCGACTTTTCCTGGGAATAATTCGAGATCATTATGAAGCATAATCATTAGATTCCCTTTATAGCCACATTGAACGTTTATAGGGCCTGTACAGACACACACAGACACATAGAGAGAGAGAGAGAGAGAGAGACCTTCCCCATGGCCCGCATGAAAGAAAGAAAGAGAGAGAAAGAAGGAAAGAAAGAAAGAAAGAAAGAAAGAAATAAGAGAGACAGAGAGAGAGATATATATACATATATATATATATGTATATCAGCGCTGATGGATCGGGCTCTCTAAGTCTTAGGTTTCTTGAGGGTTCAGGCTTAGAGCATGCCGTCTACCAGGATGGGCTCTTAGTCCTTTAAGGGCCCCTAACCTACCCTTACTAAGGTACTCGTGAGGGATTTTAGGGTCTAATTACCCATACTGGTAGAGCATTTATTGTCACGTGCGACCCTTTCCAGCCCAGAAAATTCACCAGATCGAAAGCTACACTACATAACCCTACATATAGCTGTTTCCATTTCATTTTCCATTTTCTTTTCCATTTGATTCTCCATTATTGGGGTAATATCCCTATATCCCTATATACCCCTTTAAAGGGACCTAGGGTTTCCATTTCATTTTCCATGTTCTTTTCCATCATTTGATTCTCCATTATTAAGGGACATACTAGGAGTCTAGCAATTCGGAGGAGCTGCTTAACTCGGAGGAGGCGCGTGAGCGCGGGGTCCCAGCTACCATGTTTAGGGTAGACTGGGTTTAGGGTTTAGGGTTTAGGGACTGGGGTCCCCAAAAGAGGACCGACCCGCTAAGGTTTAGGGTCTAGGGTTTCATGGACTCCCAGGGTGGTGGGTAGTCTTGGTGTTTTACAGATACTTACGGAAATGATGAGTTCCTAGCCTCATTCGTGCCTGGGGCAGCGAAGGGGTGCATCCCCACAATGAAGCTCATAGCCCTTCCACCCAACCAAAGCTGGGGACTCATTGAACGTCAGGGGCAAGGGGGTGTTTAATGTGAGGGGAGGAGGTTATAAGGGTTTTCAGAATTCTTCATATAGAGCCCCTCATGGACTCTAAAATACTGTACTTCTCTAAGGTCCTTAGGGGCCTTCTTGGGCAGCTTCGGTATGCGTTCGGGAGCTTCATGGTTGAAGTTGTTTAGGCGCTTTTGGGTTTAGGATTCAGGGTTTAGGATTTCTTGTCGGATTGTAACATGCCTTGCCACGACACAGGATGCATAGTACTTCGAGCAGAAAAACGGGACCTGAGGCCTAGCCCCCAAAAGTGACCCTTTTTTTGAAACCCCAAAAACCCTAACCCTAAATCCTAAGCCCCTGAACCCTAAACCTTCAACGCCAGAGCCCAAATCCTAGACCCTAAACCATATATCCTAAACCCTACACAACCTGGCCTTGTGTTCCTAGCCCAGGTCAGCATTAGAAGAAGTTCGGCAAGCGGGCGCTGAGCGCAACGCAACGGCTCTAGTGCCCACCCTGGCATCTGGAAATCACTACAGTTTGTTCAGCGCGATTTAGGGTTTAGTGTCAGGGTTTTGGGTTGGAGTTTGGGCCTTTACTCGAGGACCTCATTTGAAGATCTCATCTTGCTGTTTACTGTGTGGGTGACTCCAGGTGCCTGAGAGCTAGAATAGCGTTTCGGGACAGGTTAATTAGGGATCAAGACCGTGTCATAAACAAAGACATGACGGAGATTCATGGCTAGTTATACCTGGGTATAGAGGTAGCATGGCTAGTCCATCACATTGAGTGATTGGAAGCACAAATCAGGACGGTCATGTTTCCACTTAAAACTTCACATGAACCTCCAAGTACAGTAGAAGCATGAAGACCTGCCGATATAGTTCCTGTATAATCTTGAGATAACGGGTTATAAGGTATAAAGCGCAACATAGCCCAAAGCCCTTTCCTTATTCATCAGGCGCTTATTGCAGAAGCCGAACTCCTTGATTGGAAGCCAGCTTGTGTCCGGAAGATTGCCGAGGAGATCCAGCAACTCCGTACAGGAACGCTTTTCCATGAATATCTTCCCCCCCATGCCAGGGATGCTAGAGATTCCTTATATATTATGGTATGGCATAAGGTGGGGTTACTATATGGCCTGTATGGGGCGCAGGTATAGAAGTCGTCCTGACCCTCCAAGTAGCTGCCAAAGAGCCTTGCTTGCCTTCATCAAGGAACATTTGCAGCATAGTAGTGGTTGTCAAAATGATGGTCCCTTTTTGGGTACCCTAAATATTAGGTGCCATATTATAATAGGGCTCCAAAAAGGGCTCATAATTTTGACAACCACCCATCCGATAAACCGAATGACATCGCATGCGAGTCTGCAAGGCTACAAGTGCTCAAAAGGATTGCCATCTAGAACCTCCTTGCATCTGAAAGTTTGGCGCAGATGACTCTCCAGAACCTCGAGTCCATGAACCTCGCACAACTGGACTCACTCATCAAGAAAAAGGAGGATGACCTGTTGGTGCTGAAGCAATACAGGGAGCAGAGGGTCAATCCAGAAATCATCGTCAATGTAGTGCAGGCCTCGGGTCGTTCCATGCCAATCAGTGTGAGGATCAAGACAAAGGTTCATGACCTGGCACAGCAGATTAGAGGGCGTCTTGAAGCTAGGCCTCCAGACGGCACGTCCATGAGCTTGATCTACAGCCGTACAGAGTTGGACTGGCCAAAGACGCTGGAGGATTATGGTATCCTTGGTGGAGAAACTATCTCCGTGGTGCTGCACGCTCGGCAAGTTGAGACCGAAGACATGACAGAGGCAATGAAGGAACGTGAGCGTCTGCAAGCAAGGGTAGATGCCCTAGAGCAGGATGCTGCCTGCAGAAGCCGCGTGGTTCGCGAAATGGTTGCTGACTTCATGGCCAGGGGACAGTTTCTGGCACCCGTGCAGTAATTGGGTCCATTAGGTTATTGTGCGTCAGGTGGTGTAGGAAGGTGTGCGGTGTGTGTGTGTGTGTGTGTGTATCTGTAGATATATATGTATACATAGTTATATAATATAGGAGATTCATAAGTCTACGTCATAAGTCAATAAGCAGTAACGCGCCATTTGAGTGACTGGGCTTCCGCGGTATGCTTGTCTTTCAAGGCTGACCTTCCAATATTGACTTGCGTTTAGCCATTGAAGTCTGGAAGTCAGTTTTGGTGTGCAGTGAAGCGTAGATTTTCAACAAAAAGGGCTTTGAGGGCGCACTGTTTAGAAATTGGACACTTGAACGAACCCAGACGTGCTTTCCTTGTGGACCTGCTGACAAGACAAGCCGCGCAGGCCAAAACAGCTGGTGCGTTGTTCCGTGCTAGGAAGTTCTCTGGGTAGGCCCGTGGAATTTCTATCGTTTTGCCTCTTGGCTTCCATCGGGGACCCTATAAACGAACATGTTTCAAAGGGGGTAAGGGGCCAACCTAGTTCGGGAAGGGCCACCCAGGAGGTCATGCACCCACTAGTGGTAAAGTAGGATTATGGAGGGGGGCCGATGCAGCTACGGCTATGTCTGTTCGTAGGTGCTCCAGGCTCTTGGAAGATGTGGCGTGCAAGCAGGGCAAGTTCATCTTTGAGATTTGTTTGGCATAGGATTTCGGTGTTATTTTCTTAAGCCGAATGTTTTGCTGAGATTATTGCTTGAGGTGTAGGGTCCGTTATTATCAGCCAGTTGTCCGGCAAGATCTGGGAATTTCGCAAGATGTTACTTAGACATGTGACTGCACAAGTACCCCCCCAAACTCTCTCAGCATACTCCTGTTTTGTAAGCCCCTAATACATCCCCAAACCCCAGAAGCCGTAAAGCCTGAACGCTACAAACCGTAAGCCGCAAACCCGCACACCGGCGAAACCTACGAGCCCTACACCTGGGCTCGAAACCCGAAATCGTAAACACTGCAAACCTTGAACCCTAAACCCTAGAAATCGTTTAAACCCTGAACCCCACCTAGACCCGCACACCTACTCTACCCGGTTTTTAGGATACTTAATTTTGTATAGCCAGGTTACCAGACATAAAATAAGGTATCGTAACAAAGGGGCAGGGCATAGAGTTCCTGGTAGACTGAAGGCAGGCAATGGAAAACCCCAAACCCTGGAATCTAAACTGTGCGGGCCCGCGGTTCGAGAATTTCCTAAGGGGTCATGGTTCCCGCTGTGGAAATGCATCCGCGCGTCAGGCCCTGAACGGCGGACCACTGCCTGAACCCCCAGAGTCGCCAATACTTACGGTGTAGGGTTTAGGCTTTAGACCCCCGAGAGAACTTCAAACAGGGTCTATGTAGGTATGTGCTCTCCACAGAGGGTACTTAAGGGGGCCGAGGAGGCTTGAACATTACTGTTTTATGTGCGTTTACGCTGACTGCGTGCTATTCAATCACCGAGTATTACCAGTATGGGCTAATAGACCCTAAAATTCTTTATCAGTACCTTACTAAGGGTAGATAAGGATCCCTTAAAGGACAAATAGCCCATCCGCTAAGAGAAGTCTTTTGCGGCTAGCGTGGAACTTCTGGTGGGAAAGGAGGATGCGATCAAACAGGTTGGTGTCTTTCATCCTAGGGTTTTGCATCCTAGGGTTTAGGGTTTAGGGTATAGGAAGAGTGGAAATAGAAAGGAAAATGCTATTTAGGGTTTAGGGTTAAGGGTTAATGTTGGGGCTAATATAATGGTAAAATATAGGGAGAATGGAAATGAAATGGACACTACTCTTTAGGGTTTAGGATTTATAGGGTTTATAGGGATAATGGAAAATAAAATGGGAACTACTATATATCAGCCCTAAACCCTAAACCCTAAACCCTAAACCCCTTCAGGTTTAGGGTTACCTCGGCGGACTCGGAATGCTGTGCCTAGGCTCAGGCCATCAAGCGTTGTCCTGCTCTCAGCCGTATTGCCCTATGATTTAGGGTTTAGGGTTTAGGGTTTAAGTGTACCTGAACCCCAAAAGTATGTAGAATAACTATTTGCTTTTAAGGCTAGTTTTAGAGGTTTTGGGCTATTATTTTACCTACTTTGGGGGTGTGGGTAAGCATAGATGAGTCCAATTAGGCTAAAACTGCACTGTGGTAGAGTGCTCGTGGTCCTATCATGCGACCCAACAAACCTTCAAGTAGACGAGATGTACCTTTTGCGAAAGTCTTGCTTGTTCAATGTGATTGGGACTTTATGTTCTGCCATCAGTCTTAGGTGCAGACTGCAGACCCAACATTGCGTTTTTAACAGGGCTGCTTGCAACCTTGAGTTTGAGGGTCCCAAAACTAGGGAAGTGAGCTCCGAGTAGTCATTAGGGATGGATATTTGAGAACAAAGGCTGCAGGCCCAGGTTAGCAGGTTTAGTTTCGGGGGGTCAGGGTTATTGTCCCAATAGCGCGGAATGGACAAAACGGAACAGAGATGGACACCGCGCTTTTTGAGGGTATGTTACCGCTGATAGGATACATCCTAATGGCCTGATATACTCAATTTCCAGAATTCCCAGGGTACGAGATACTTGAGGTCATACAGCTTTTAAGTATAAAGTCTATGTGCGCATGTTTCAGTGCCTGCGGTCTCTATAAGCCCGGAGCCTTTGCACATGAATGCGCCCAGTATGGGGACCCAGAAGCACCACCTCCTACTGCAACCATAAACCCAAGACAAACCCTACCCTATCCTACAACCTCGAACGCCGCACTCTACACTGAACGCAAAACCGCTAAACCTGAACCTTGGGCCCTCAGAAACGTCTTGCTGAGGCCGCCGGCTGGGCATCGCACCCCAGCTGCTTCTGCAGGCATTGGCGCAGCTGACGGATGAGATGGCCAAGGCTCACCCGGGGGCATTGTCAATGGAAGTCGTCACGTGCAAATTCAATTGCCTATAGTTTGGTGAGGGATATATTCTCAGATGGGGATTTACAGGTTGCTTCAGGGTTTACCCTTTCCTCAGGTATCTACGGTTTAGTCGTAATTCGCCAGCCGTTAGTAGGCATAGCTGATAAGACTGTAGGTACGTGGCGTTCCAGGCATGAGTAGCACCAATAATTCCAACGTGAGATGAGTGCGTCTTTTTGGCACGCGTAGGTTGCGAAGATTGCTGGCGACCACGGCATCAGCAACCTCATGCTGGAGGTGGGGAAAGTTGTTCCGTATAGGGGCTCTTTTCTACTTGATAATTTAGGTGGAACCCGCACCCTCTAACAGCAGTACGTTACAACAGGAATATAAGAGGACCTTCACATAATCACCACTATCTCTTATAGTCACTAGTGCTGGGTTGTGTGCGTGCGTGTCTCCTCTAACAAGTTGCCCATGGAGCATGGAGGAGGCAGGACGAGACAAGTACCTGAACTGGAACAGTATGTAGAATACAATTGTGTTAGGGTTTTGCTTGTTTGTTTTTAGATCCCCATATACCCCTAGGGTCCCTAAGGGCACCTTCGTTCTAAATCCCCAGCATTTCTCAGGTTATAAGTATCGGCCCCTAATAGGGGCTCTTAGGCCTTCTAGAGGATTCTAGGATATTCTAAGTATATCAGGATCCCGGGGTTAAGGGCCCGTACTAAGGGCCCATTGTTTCAACCTTAGAAAATCCTAAGCCCTAAACCCTAACCCTAAACCCTCAAACCCTAAAATCCTAAGCCCTAAACCCTAAAGCTAAACCCTCAGACCCTAAAATCCTGAGCCCAGAACCCTAAAACTCTAAACCTTGTTGTAGGATCATGGGGATGGGGAAGGCCTTAGAGCTGCATGCAGTTGTATGCAGTTAGACGGTGAGCGTCCGGTCGGTCCAGAAGGACTCGCCTCAAATAGGGTTGTTTGGCTTGACTTATTGGTAGGGAATAAGGGAGTATACTATGTAAGGATTATATAGGCATCATATTCCCTTATTCCCTACGAAGAACCAGTATATAAGAAGATGGTTGTTGGGCTTTGGGCTTGGTAAAGGGTTTGGGCCGTAAACTTTAAACCCGGCTTGATGTTGAAGCAGGGCTTCGCTAGGGATCGTCGATGCGCAGGCACAGTCAAGAGCTGATTCCCTTTTGACGCGAAGGGGCCCACCATGTCTACCAGATAAGGGTTTAGGGTTTAGGGTTGAGGGCTTTAGGATTTAGGGTTTAGGGTTTCGGATTTAGGGTTTAGCGTAGCCCTGCCGTGAAAGGAGCATGTTTTCTATGAAAGATGTTTGCTTGGCCTTGAACATACCCACAACCAGGAAAAATCAGGCTTCTGCATCAAAGTTACTCTTTGCCCAATACCCTGCTTCGAGGTTCAGGGTACTCATGACCCAAACAGTTGTAAATGTATCTGGAACCCAATTGCATGTCCCCAAAGTGCCCTACGAAGGTTATAACTGGGTTATGGATACATCTGTGGTTGGGTTATTCTACTAAACACTGTTCCCTACATATGTCCCTGTACGCCCGCCATTTGCATTTCAAGGTTCATTTGATTTCTGTTTTCTATATTGTTAGGTTGTGAATACCCTGAACCTCTAGGCACTCCACTCTCCAAAGTCCCTCAGAGTTTAGGGTATAGGGTTTAGGGTCCCTAAACCCTAAACCCTAAAGGTTTTAGGGTTCGGCTTTAGATTAAGGGTTTAAAGTTAGCTGTGTAGTGGCAAGGACGTGGAGCAGATCCGCAAAGAGCTGCACGACAAAGTGCAGGCAGCGGTTTAGGGTTTAGGGTTTAGGGTTTAGGGTACACAAGCTCGCCTTCGATGTATAGGTTCAAATGAATTACAATGGGGTTCTGGGATATACTGCGCTGCAGGTGTTTTCGGATTAGAAGGAGATCCTGGGATGCACTGCGCCAAAGTTATATACATATTGCGCAGGTCAACCCTACACCCCAAACCCCAAACCATAAAACTTTACCTAAAAGCCCCAGAACCCTTTGCAGGGGGGGGTGGCTCTCGGGATGAGGGCGCAGGTT